AGTAATGCATTGTTCTGTTGACTCTCTTGAACTTCCTTCTTTATTTTTTCTCTTAATAATAATAATGGAGGCTAATAATTCTATTCTTATGATTAATTTACGTAAGTTTATATTGGCTTCTTTCTATTTTTTGTCCAAAGAATTTCTTGTCTAGAACTAACCTTCACCACCTTTGTTTTCAGTGAATATTCCCTGAATTAATAAAGTATATATTGTTACAGTTGTTTTCATTTTGAAGATAAGCTCTCCTCTGTCTGTGAAGTCTCATTTTTGTGTGTATTTTTCCATCCTCAGGCTGTCATATGTCATAATTAACTAGAGGTTGTTCTTTCCTGTGTTCTCTTTGCTTAACAGGATATAAAGTTCATTAAACCATCATAAATTTCTTACAATATTTTTTCCATTTTAAGTATTTACTAATACATGTCAATTGAAATCACAGTTCTTTTAGATTAGACTTAAAGTAGTCTTAATGTTGTGTAATTTCAGTATTTGGAATGTTTGTATGTTGAACCAGACATCTCATGCATCTTCAGAAAAGGCAGATTTATAGATTTAGAAATAAAGCCTCTCTTCACATAATACAGGAACTCTTAGATCTTGTAGCTGTGGAACATGAAAAATGCATGGTTGATTGGAGTGAAAAATCATGTCTGAATGTAAGCTGAAAGGGCAAAATTTCGTGGAATCTCATGATGCATGGATTTTGAGATGGGAAACTGTTACAGGAAATGATATAAGAAAACCATATATGTGGACTACAAAAATATTTATTGGCTGTGGAGCCATAGATACAGTGATTCATGTCTTATTTCTGTTGGTTTTTTTCCTCAGATGCTGCTACAAAAATTTGCAGGATTTGGGTCTTGAATTATCATTTCCTGAGACAAACAAATCCTTGATACTTGTGAGGAAAGTGCCAATGTGTTTTATAGAAAGAGAAGCCAATGAATTACGACGCAAAAGACAGCCTATCACTAAAAGTATTGTGGAGGTCAGCCATGGATATGGATGAAGTTATCATAGTAGGTCTTGTTCTGTGTTCATGGCCCAGGGTGTTACAGGATATCTGTTATGAAGGAGACAATGAAGTTCCCGGGCAAATGTGAGTGCCATCCCTTTTAGCAGCTAAATAGTCTCAAAACTGAAATCACTGAACTAGAACTGAAATGACAGAAGACTGTTTCAGATTTGGACTAGTGGAAAAGCTAAGAGAAACTGTATATAACAAAGATATTTCAACAGTTTACTGCACATGGATGCTTGAATGGACATTAAATGCTTGAAGGAACAGAAAAATTATTAAATGAAGGAACAGTAAAATGAATAAGTCCTAACAAATAATATTTATGTATTAGAAATATTAAAGTTATTTCCATGAAATTTCTACATAGGCAGTGGGGCTTTCTAAAAACCCCTGTTTCAGATTTCTGCAGTTAGAGGGAGAAATTCCTGAAGTGATTACTTGCAGTGGGAGGCCAGGACTTCCACCTAGATCTTTCACATGGTGGTCAGTGTACTACCAACAGCATCACTTCTGATTCTGGCAGTCACACATTTAAATTATACCCAGATGTTAGCAAAGTAGGGTAGATGGTAAAGTAGCAAAGTAGGGGGATAGAAGGGAAAAAAAGCAACTGATGACATTACCTTTTTTCTTTCTAGGAGCTTATTCAAGAACAAGTTGAGGTGAGTGGCTGTCTACTTCTAGAGTTGACTCTAATAATCCAAAGCTTACTGTGTGAATCAAAGGGAGCATATTGAGTTTCAGATGAGAGAGTGGACAAGATAATCCCCTAGCTTTTCCTCATTTTTAGTTTCCTTTGTGTTACAGTTCTTTTTTCTCATATTAAATGGAAAGTAACATGATGTTCCCTTACTGCTTTTAGCTAGTGCAGACCACAAGAGGAGGAGCACGAGGGACACTGCCTCTGACATTTCTGAAGGTGTTGGCTTCACAGGCCTGTCATGGTAGGGAAACTGTACTTTCATTCTTTCTCTTTATTTTTTTTCAAACCTTTCTCTCTATACAACATCCTCTCTGGGGCAGTGTTTGGATTGTTTGCAGCTATTGCAGGGTTAAAGACTCTTTTTCTTAGGGTTGAGGAGATAATGCTCATTGACAGCACTGAGGAATAAGCAGTATTCCCCCAATTTAATAATGTATGGGCCTAACATACTTCCCAATCTTCATGTGAAACATACAGCTCTGAGATGCATTCATCTATGTGAGCTCTAAACCATTCAAATAACAGTTCTATGATGGGCCAAAGGGGAAGGTGCTGGAATCTGCTTGAAAGCATGCAGGAAAGAACACTTAGCCACTCTTTCCAAATTTTTAATTTCCTTTAAGTATCCCCAGTGTTTCAGTGTGCCTGCAACAGTTCAAGTACTTTTGGAAGGAGTGCAGTAAAAATTTACATCTTCTCAGGGAGCTGTTGCTTTCTAGGACCAGGCAAGGAGGTGGCCTTACTGGTGTAGACTGCAGTAGCTCCAGCCTCTTGTTGCAATTCCTGTGCTATATGCAGTATCAACAAGATCACACTGAAAGGGCAAATGTGAACCAGAAGTATCTGTTTTCTCAACAGTGTCTCTATTTACAATTGGCAGTCAATATGTTTTGGGTTTTTGTGTCTAAAAAAGTCCCATGGCTGAAAGCATATTGTAGATAGTCTTGTGCATCTGTGAAGGCAAAAGTTTGCAAACACCTCTGAAATAACACCTTAATGTTATGCTTGAATTTCCTCTGGATGTCTTTAAGTGCTCACTTGTAAGAAAGGACTTAGTGGCTGGGCTAACACTTGGTCTCGGAAGTGATACCTGTCCCTGGCAGCCACCGGGAACCACTAAAGCCTATGAAACTGTTACTGACTGTTGTCTTGGTTTAATACTTCTTGATTTGTGAACTGTTTCCAGCTTCAACTCTAATACACACAAAAAAGCCCATTTGCCTCTTGCAACATTACCTGAAACACCAAAAAGTAATAATCTTACCTTCCATCAGACTTGGGCTACATAAAAGTTTAAGCCATGGAAAGCTGATCTCCTAATAGAGCAGACTTTTTAATTGAGCTAAGCCCCAAGTCTGCCACACTGCAGCCTTTGGGTTGCCTTTGCAGGCATTACTTCTCAGGTAATCTTTGGGACATGCCTTGTTTACACTGAAAACCACAGCTGTAGAAGGAAGTGGAGTCCTCTTTGGCAGCAAGGGTGAGAATGTGTCTCTCTTTTTCAGGAGCTATTAAGTTTAATGAGCATTTGACTTTGGAGGAGAGCTGCAGGCTTATTGAAGCTTTGTCATCTTGTAAGCTACCCTTCCAGTGTGCTCATGGAAGACCTTCAATGCTGCCTCTTGCAGACATAGACCATCTACAGCAGGAAAAACAGGTACTGTGTGGGACACACCTCTGGTAATCCGTGTTCTGCATTATCACAGGCACATCACGTATGTGTGTTAGAACTAGGATTGTCCAGTTTGAAACCATCACCACTGGCCTAATATTACTTGACTTTTTACATACTGTTATCAATAAAATGAGACTTTAGGACATAAGCCATCTGTCCTGTAAACACTTTAGCAAGGCTCTTACTATATATTATTTGAATAGTCACACTGCCTTGAGTAGTGTCCTTAAGGTTAAGCATACATTTAAAGTGTTTGCAGTTTTTAAGTGTAAAATTTGGAAAACATGAAAGTTCTGAAATTCTGCTAGTGGAAAAGATGCTATTTAAGCAAATGCTTACTTTCCCAAAGTTTAAGATGCTATCAAATGGGGATAAAGCATAGGAATAGCCACATTTATTATAAAATCATAGAATGGTTTGGGTTGGAAGGGACCTTAAAGATCATCTAGCTGTGTTCCACTAGACAAAGTTACATTTAAATTATATTTAAATCAGGTTACGTTTACATTTAAAACAAAATCATTACTCCTCCCTTTTGCTAGTACTATGCTTTATTGTTATTAAATTGGATTCTGTTGAAAGTCAGGTGGGACTTTGAATTAGATATTAACTTGGAAATGAATGTATTATGGCAAAGAGTATGGAAACACTGAAACTTTACTCAGTTATGACTTGTGCTTCTTAATTTTTCTCCCTCCAGCCTAAACCTAATTTGACTAGACTGAGGAAGATGGCACGAGCATGGCAGCTATTTGGAAAAAAAAAAGAACCTATTTAAAAAAAGTTAAGAATGTGAACTGCAACCACTAGAAGCACTGGTATGATCCATGAGTCCTGTTGTTAGACTACAATATCCTGTATGGAGCCAAGTTCTAAGCCAGTGCAGTCACCAAAGCTCTCCTCCAACTACTGACCAAAGAGACCAGCCAGGAGAACATGGCAGGAGGAGCCCACCCTTGGAGCCTGGAGAAGCATCTCCAACATAAAGGAATAGTGCTGTAAGTCTGGGCCCTATGTCAGTGCTGGACTGTTGGGTACAAGGAGTTGCAGCCACTTGCAGTTACTAAGGCAAAGCACTTCTTTTCTGCAAGCATAGCATAATTCTGCATAATAGAGAGGGGAATTTTAATTAGTGTATTTTACCGTACTTTGAAAATTGGAAGGTATTTCTTAATAAAGTTCACACTAAACTCACTCCTTGGGCTCATAGCAGTGTTTGGAATGAGGATCAACCAGCTTCACAGTATATATAGGCCAACTTAGGATCAAGAAACACTTGGCAATGAATGACACACCCAGCTGCTTTCTCCAGCTCCTTGCAGTTTGTGTGCATGAGTGAGAGATTTCTAAATCCCCACCTAGCCACACAGAGATAACTAAATAGTTAAATATCCATTTTGAAGACAACTTTTGATGGATTCCTACTCCTGTCACATTCACATGTGAAAGCACACTGTAAAGCCTGCTACTGCATCATGTAATGAGTGCAGACAACTCACTACACTGGTAAAACTCCTGCTAAAGAAACCAAACAACTGTATATGGAAAATGTGCTTAACAGTGAGATCACTGTAAACAGCCTTTATTGCAGTGTATTTCAAAATCAATGTGGGTTAGCAGCTCCACATCGTTTCTGATACAGCATGTGAGGAAAACCTGTACAAGAGCTCTGCCTTCTCTTGCTTTTGGGTAGGAAAGACACTGCTGAGCGAATTCCCCACTGGCTCCCCACAGCAACCTGTCTTTGCAACATACGCTTTAGTTAGCTGTTGTATCTTTCCAAAGAGAAAGATAAAGAGTCTGAATAGTGACGTGCTTCACAGTATTAGAGTTCATAGTCATCTGGATGGTAGAGCTCACTCATGAGGCGGTAGATGTAGGATGGTGCATTTCCCCCAATGTTAGAAATGAAGAGAGTAATGAGCTCCGGAGGGACGTAGTCAAACACTGGGCAGTGAACATTGATTTTTGCCAGGATCTCCCCTGTAAAGTGAATAGCAGCAATATCAGTCAAAGCAACTCAAAGTACATTTAGTCTTCTGCACACCTTCTGGAGTCCCTGAACAATCTGGCTATGCACATGCCACCCTGAAGTCAGTACTTGAATATCCTGAATACTTTCCAACTTCTTCACTGATGTCACTGAATTACAGGTATACAGCAATCTTGAATGAATGGCAAAACTCTGTTTCTGGTCATTTTTGTTGGTAGAAACCCCAGATCCTTTCTGATGTAGACTGACTAATTGCCAAAAAACCCTACCACTATGTAATACAAGAATCCTGATACTGCCAAAGTTATTATTTAAAGAAATGCTCAGAAGGCCAAAACTAAAATTTGGTGCCAAGCCTGTTGCTATCTCCATTTCAAAAGTCTTTGTCATATAGAAATGGGGCTTTGAAAGAGTTTTTGCTAACTGAAAATGGGCTTGGGCACTGATGCTTTTCTAAAGATGGTACTTGTGTGGGAAAAGCCCATGGCAGAGACACTGTTGTTTCAATGACTGTATCACATAACAAACTTTCAAGAAGTTACAGGAAAGAAGGGAAGCTGTCCTTGGTGTTGGGCATCTGCCCTGTCCCACAGGAAACTGCTAGCTACCTGGCATCATTATCACCATCCTATAATAAAACACTGTTTCAGAGCAGAAGCAAAACTGCAGAGACAGTGTTCAAGAGAAATCCTTTTTCTCCACTTTACATAATATACAGTTATAGAACTGGATGGTTCACAGCACCCTTTTCTGTCAAAGAGAGTAAAAAAGGATTTTCTGTCTTGGGTTATAAAATCATCTGATGTTTAATTTTTTATGTGAGTTTCAGAACCAAAATTACAGTCTGAACTAGCTTGACCAGTATAAAGAATAACCAGTACCTTCTGTGAATGGCAGCACTTCCTGTGGTGACACAAACTTGTGGAATGAATCTTCTTCATTAGGGAACTAAATGAGAAAGAATACACGAAGATCAGGAAAAGACCCTACCTGATTATCCTTGTGAAAACAGATCCTGGCACTGATGGAAGGAACTGATGCAGAGGAAGATGACTTGCCAGTTAACTGGCATATTAACTCTGTTTACAATAATTACACAGTGCTTGTGTCTAGAACCTCTCTAACATTTACAGGTGAGAGGTTTTTCCTCAAAGCTTTTAGAGCCTTCTATGATGTGGCTTCCTTATCAAAGCCCAGTGAACTGGAGGAGTGACTTCCTCAGCCTGCAGCTTCACCTGACAATATTAAAAAAGTACTGAGTATAAGAAAGTTTTGAATGTCTCATTCTACATTCTCTGCCTTTCAACACTTATGGTATAAACTGTAATCTATCATGGTTGAGGAAAAATAAGTATGGCAATGCCAGTCTCATCAGGCTGGGCAGTGGTCTACATCCTTATACCCAATGTACTGCTTTGCACATGTGGCAGAGGACAGTACTTCAAGAAGATTGTGAGATGTGCCAGGTTTGGGTGAGGATCTCCTCTCTGAAGTAACAGTGTTAGATGGGGGAGATGGCTCATTTATTGACCTTGCCCTGGCAAAGATGGTTCTATCCACCCTAAGGTCCCACAAGTAAAAGCTCTGGCAGGTGCAGTCCTGAAGAGCTGCTGTACTTACCTGTGGTGAAAGCTTGAACATGGGGGCACACACGATCAGTGGAGTGGAGTGGTGCTTAGCTGCCAGTGCCAGAGTGTGAGTCCCACTCACAGCAATCAGGGCGCCATTGGCCAGGATTGTCTTTGTACCAATGATGACCTTAGAAGGGCAAATCAGAATTGGATAGCATGTTCCACAGTGGAATGGGGAAGGAACACTTCCTGGCTCAAACCCTGACAGACGAGCTGGAGAAGGACTGTATCAGTACAGCCAGCAGCTGGAGTTATAGGACAGCTGAATGTCTGATCTGTTTCATCTGGCACTGTCTCTGCACTGAGATGTTCCTCCCTAACAAGAGCATGACTCCAGCACAGAGAACTTCAGAAGACAAATGTATATTCTACTGCAGGGAACACCAAGCAGAAACTGGGCTGTGGCCCCTGTTGTTCTACAAACCTACAAAGTAAGCTTTGTACAAGTAACTTGACTACTCACTGCAAAAATTCCCTTGCATTATGGTTCAGGGAATAACATTAAGCAGCTCAAAATATACAGATAAGAATTGATGTGGCTGGATTTTAGTATGTTACAAGTACTTTTTTTTTTTTTCCAATTTGGGATGCCAAGTTTTCATCTCTATAAAAGTACAGAACAGGTCTCTTTAACAAGACAAACCTTAATGATTCCCTTCATCAGTCATCTTCTGTTTCAGGCAAAGGGGTTTTTCTTCCCTTTGGAAATTCTGCTTTTTGTTCCATCTCCTTTGAAAACTGAGGTTAATCCTTTGAGGCTGTCTTGTAACTGTAGCCAGTAAGGCAGAAAAAACCTATCACCATTCAGTCAGTCATCATACTGACTTGGAGTTCCACACTGAATCTCCACCCCAGCAGTGAACACAGACTATTGCAATTTTGAGTCTTCAGTGAAGAAACACATCCAGCACTGCTGGGACTTGCAGCTGATTTGAGAGGCCTAAGCACCCAACCTGCCATGAACTCCCTCCTCCTGTGGGGCCCCCACTTACCTTGTTGACTCGAGACATGACAGCAAAAATAGCTGCATCACTCATGACAGTAGTTTCAATATTCTCTTTAGACAGTCGGACAGCCATTTCATGACCCTGAAAAGAGGGAGAATCCAATTGGTTCCCTGTGACATAACTCCTGCAGTGCAATTATAGAGGTATCAGCACTCAATTCTTGTCTGAACTGCAAAAACATCAAGTAATGAAACCTGAACACAGCCCTTCAACTCAAGGATGCTGGAGTAGGATAACGAGCTATCTCCAACTCTCAACTGCAGAGGAATTTCCATAATCTTGATTCCAGACACAAGATTTCAGTAAGAATGTGCAGGACAATAGAGTACAGGCAGCCTAGGCCTTACCTGGCAGAACGGTGCACACTCTGCCACGATGACCTGGAACTTGCGCTTGCGAGCAGCTTCCTTCAGGAAGGCCTCGACAGTGCGTGAGTAGCCAATAGTCATGATCACCTCGTTAGAGTGGATGTGTTCCAGTGCCTGCATAGCAATGTTATCAGTGGTGCCCTCTGTAACAGAAGGAAGATGTGGGTGTAAAAGCAGCCAGCAAAAGCAACACTTGTGTTGCTAGGACTGTCCTCCAACAAGATCATTTTTCACTAAAGCAATGTTATTAGCACTGGTACAGCAGGAGAAGCTTTTCTCCTCATTTTTTTTTTTGCCAGTGGAGTGGAATCAAGAAGCTGGCCCTTGAATGCCCCATGCTCCCTAGCTATTCTCTCCCTATATATAAAAATAGCTGTACTGAAAACTCTATTGTGAGGGGAGTGAATTGTGTCAGCACTACTCCAGATAGCCACCAGACCCACAAAACTTTCAACAGTTTTGTAGCTCAATAGCAGGGCAACTTGGGCCTCAGGAGGTGGGTCAGATGCCTGATTTGTCACAAGCATCGCAGAAAAAGAAAATTGTATCACAGTTCTTTGTGACAAGGGTCAGGTTATAAGTGGACAGGGATCACAGAGGACTTCCCAGAAGACCAAGGGTGAAGGCCTACAGCCCCCCATATTGCTCCTTCCACAATCTACCCATCTACCCATCTCCCCATAAGCCAAAGAGGACTTAAAACAAAGTCCTGGGAGCAGTAGGGCGTCAGTTCCTCGGTTCCTTCAGATTAAGCCTCTCAGAACCTTATTGTTTTATTTTCACCTAGAGAAGGGGGAAGCATCAGTCCCGTCCCATAAGAATCTTCACTCAGGAGCAACTCAGACCCATCCGTACCTAGCTCAATTAGCATCTCATTAATAGCTTCAATAACATTAGCTCTGAGGGAGGGGTAAGGGGTTCTGAAATCTTCACTCAGTCCTCCAGAAGTCAGGAGTTTGTGCAGGGATTCTTGCTGGTCACTTTCCTCACTGCGCCCGTGAAGCCTGTGGAGAGAAGTGGCCTCTTCAGCCTCAGGAAAGAGCACAGGGCCACAGACAGGCTGAGCACTGTCTCCACAGTGTGTCACACCTGGATGTGAAGAGACAGGAAGGAACGCCACCCACAAGAGACACACCATGCCATACCAGAGAGCTTCTGTAGCTGTATTGGCAGAAAAACACCCAAATCTCTGCCAGAAAGTACCTTTTTAAGTCATGTGCAATCACTGCTGTCCACAGACAAGGAGCGGGCTTGAGGCTACTACAAGTGGGATGGACACCCCTGGGTACAGAGAACCCAAGGCCAGGGCACAGACTGTTCCCATGCACTCACAACACCAAGTGGTTTCTAAAGAGGAAACGTCATCACCCACAGTGGAAACAACAGGGTGTCCTTTGGCATTAAACTCCCTGAATCCCTCTCTAGGAGAGTTGGGAAGAGGGTGATGGAAACTAAAGGAGTTTTACAGTAGCAACTTAAAAGGGCAGTTCTGGGCTTTCAGAGAGATACAGGGAGCAAGAGGGGCACTTTACCTGCCATATTCCTCACGAATGACCTTCAATACTCGTCGCACCATGTTGCCCACTGTCGTCTCCGATGGCTGGGCTGCCGTCATCCTCTGGCCCTCTGTCCGGATCAGATCCATGAGCTCCCCTGGAAGAGGGGAGGGCCTTGGTTATCGCTGCCCAGAGCAAGCCCATGTGGGTATCAAACCAGTGCATGCCCCTCAACATCCCAGAGCCAGCAGTTGTTCCAGCACAAGGGCCACGGCACCAAGAAAGAACAGGAAAGGGTGAGCAGAGAGCCCCTCACAAGGCAGCCAGTTCCACTGGCTGCAGTCAGAAACGCTTGGACACAACACAGACTTCGGGAAGACCATCAGCAGCGCATTTGGCCTTTCCTTTGAAAGAGGAAACCACGTGCTGCTGGAAAGGTCCGTGCTCGGACTGACGCCGCTGAGGGGAGAGCAAGGCTGGGCAGGGCAGCTCCTCAGGCAATGCCACCCGTGAGCACAGCAGGCTGGGAAGGCTCCGCCGTGGCACGACAAGCACCGGGAATAATCCGCTGGCCGCCGCTAGCGAGGCCCCAGCTCCCGCGAGCCTCAGCGCCAGCGGCCCCGCATTGGGGCCTGACCCGGCTTTGCGGACCCTTCCGCACCCCACAGCGGCGACCGGAGTGCGACCGCCCC